TATATAAAGGTAAAATCCATTTACTGTTGCTCGATTTTTGTTTTGGCCTTGTGAATGTGGAGGTCTGCAAAGGGGGAGTGGCTTACATTTGTCAAAAATATATATATATTTCACATCTCCAGTTAGAGTGACATTAAAGTCAAATGTTTTTCCCTCCCCCCAAGTAAAACACTTACCTTAAATGATGTCTCTTAATCCGATCTTCTTTCCTGTCCTTTTAAGCCTTCTCTCCAGCGCTGCTGCGGGTCTCAGATCCAGCTCTGATTCCTCTGTTCTTGCCGGCACTTCCTATCCCACGGTGTCTGCATGCGTCCATAGACTTACCTTGCGTCTCTCCTCGTCTCCCGGCTGAAAACTCAAACTTTGCATGCGCCCGCCCCAAGATGCTTTGCAGCCGCTCGAGCAGTTTCGGATTTTCATACGGGAGCGCGCTGTGAAGACAGCGGTAAGTTTAAACCACTTTTAAAGCTGTTTTTTTTTTGTAAACTTTTTGCATATATCTACTGCTTGCTAGCAGTAGATATATCCAAAAAAACGGAGGGTCTAGAAACCCTTTAAGTTTTCAGCCAATATCTGGAGAAGAAGACTGTATCCAACAACATTCTTTAACTGTGAATTATAGGCAGCAATTACCCATAACACACAATGTGATTTTTTTCACCATCCCCGCATAGAAATGTATCCTTGCATTTCGAATTATTTGTATCCTTCTTTTCATACATCCAAGAAAGCCACATGACTTTGACAGGTCACTTGCCTATGCTCTCCTCCTGGGAGCTTTTTTAACACCATTCAGTTTAATAGCACTACACAGATTTCTAAAGCATGTCACTGTTCTTTAAGACTAAACCATGGACCCCTCTGACTGTTAGACTGGTCCCTTTAGCCTCGCTCCCCCTCCATTCCAGTGGTCTCGGGTCAGTGTATAAATATATCAAAGGTGATTATATAAACTGTAATAACCTGTAGACTGTAAGGTCCCTAAAGAAGACATGTGGCCACAATTTAAGATTGAAGAAGATAGAAGAAGTTTAATCCTAATCTTAAAGGGGTTCCTGGGGAACTCTCTTCCCCAGGTAGTAGTATAAGTTGGGATTGTTGAAATTCAAACATTTTTAGATATCTTCATCAGTTAGCATAATATACAGGGCTATGGGAATTCTTCAATACGATAGGAGGTTTATCCAGGGATTTATTTGCTCACCAGTATGGGGTCAGGAGGAATTTGATATATTTTTTACCCTCTTACAGCAAATTGACCTATGCTTATAGGGGTTGTTTTTTGCCTTCCCCTGGATCAATCACATGAAACTTAATGCACCTGTGTCTTTTTTCAACCGTTTAAACTATGTAACTTGTACATGACCATCATACAGCCCAATAGTGCCCTTCTTATCACATTACAGTTTCAAGTAAATTGCAAGTTTATGGGTGGGTAAAAAAGATGTAAAGATATCTTTTGCAATGTGCAAGGTTAATTGAATGACTTAAATTCCATGAGGACCATCAGTGGAAATAAATCATATGTGCCATGAATGTCAGGTCTGAGAGAAAAGTGATCTAGGTCCTCAGTAGGAGCTCTTAGATAAAGCACAGATTGCCTCCCTTCTTCTTGACAAAAACCCATGTGTCCTGACTCCTTAATACTATGTGTGAGAGTTCAAATCTAGGAATTAAATACAAGGCTTAAATCAGACTAAAATTGAATGCATAGTTATTTGTGCACATAGCAGTACATTAATTTTACTGTAGGCTTTGCTTATACTGTAAATTAAAAAAGCTTTCTTAGTGTACAATGATTTATTTAAAAATTATACGTGATTATATTAGCAAAACATAGCAAGAAAGTAATATTAGATCTACTACTAAGCAATATTAAATAGAGGCCCTAGGGCAACTTTGTGAACTGCTACCTCCCAGATAAAGAATTTTGCCTGGCGTCCCCTAAACTTGGCAGTTTAGAATACAGTACATATCGCTTATGGTTGTAGAACAATGTATATCTTGAAGTAACAGCATAGTCCTTGCATAATTCACTTCCTGGTATTAATGAAGTATTTGCACCCCCCTTCACACCCCACACATTCCTATTGGACTTTCATGATAGAGATGGTCCAATAGTAATATGTGGTGGAGAAAATGGATCAGTAAAGCTCTGAAACTACCCAAAAGTGTCAGAGCTTTGCCCATTCATAACTGTTATGTGTTTTTCTTTCTATTGCCTGAATTGCTAAAAAAAAAACAACTTAAAATAAATAAATACTTTTTTTTTTAAAGGTATGCATCCAGCTGTAGGTATATGTGCTCTATACCTGATAGCATATTTTTTTTAATTTAAAGCAGAACTCCAGCCAAAAATAACAACTAACTAAAAATTATAAAATAAAAATGAATAGCCCATTAAAAGATAAAATTACCAAACCCCCTTTTACCTTCAATCCATAGTTTGTCTTGCAGTACTTTTTTTCTGCCACTAAATGTCATCAATCTGATGGACAGCATCTTTCAAGCCACATCCTCTACATCTAGGGTATCTTGGACCTGTCCAGCCTGTGACCGTACAGCAAAAGGAGAAGCAGCACATTGAGGTACTTTTTCTCTGTCACTCTGATTTTTCCTCCAAACAGCATGCTTCTTGTTAGTGTATGAACTGGTTGGCTTCTTGGGTTGCTTCTTCCTCCCACACTCCACTCACATCTCTGCTATATACTGTAGAGACAGCAAGAGCCTGATACCAAATTCAATGTGGGTACTTACACTACTACTGAAAAAACAAAATTGTTTTATAAAATTCTCTTTTATAAATCATCATTAAAGGAGAACTTTGAGGTGAGTGATAATCACTCATCCTTATAGTTTTAGCCAACATGTGACAATGAAACTGTCACACGTCTGCTCAATAGACAGGGAAGTGAGCAAACACATACTGTTGCTCGCTCACTTCTCGATCATCTCCCCACAGGTCACGGCTCCCTGCAGGGATTTCCCCTCTCCCTGCTCCGATCCTCCAGCGCTGACTGCAGGAACGGTCAGGGGAGGGGGCAGGCATAGCTGGCTCTGCCTCTAGATAGGCAGAGCCCGCCATCACTCACGCAGCTGGGTGGATCTTGACAGTAATGTCAGGATCCGTCCTGGCTGTGGCGGTCTCAGTATACCGCGAGCTGTAGCTCGCGATATACTGAGCTTTGGGTCATGGGAGGATGCTAGTATATGTCCTCCCGTCACCCTTAAGAGAACTATGGGGAAAAACACTTACCCTATAGTTATCTTTTAAGTATTCTTAAAAGATAGTCTGTATGTTAATATGTTAACATTGAATTAGCATAAATGGCTTACAGAAGAACTCTGGACATAATGTTTCTGAACCCTTGCAGTGGGGCTACCCCTGCACTGCAAGAGTTAAGTGCTCGTTTTGGACTAGGTGCAAACAAAAATAACAGAGTTATACTCGCCCAATCCTCAGAGCTGGCTTGCTCTTAGACCAGTCTTTCCAGCCTCACTCCCACTACACTCCAGTGGTCTAAAAATCTTCAAGTCATCATGTCCAATACACTGTGTATAGGATGTGAGGACACCGAGGGAGATTGTTGGAACTGAGGAGGAGACAGGCTGGAGGGAGTGCTCTAACAGCCAGCTGGCTCCGAGAATGGAGTATAAATTTGTTATTTTTACACCTAGAGCTAAATGAGCACTTACTGCAAGGGCTAAGAAAAATTTTGCCTGGAGTTTCTGTTTTATCTGTCATGATATGAGCCCCTGGTGATCCCCTGTACAGCAGCACTCAGACTGCACTGGGAGGGGCAGCACTTGGAGCTAAGCAGTATCTGCTGCATGCACATGTGTTGACAGGGAACATGCTGAGAGTAGGAGAGTACAGAGTGAGCAGAGTTGATAAATTTAAGTGTTGTTGCCCATTCTTTGTCCAGTCAGCAGACGGCAGGTAGTTTGGTGACATCACTTCCTTAAGTGTCACACTCTTGGCGGTACTGTCTGGCAGAGGCAATGGTTCACACCTGTGTACTTGAACTGCATATTTTTGCCTAAAGATCCATTTTAATATGACTTCTGTTCACTTATTTCCTTTCAAACAAAACCAGGAAGGTGCAATCACGTGTTAGATTGTGGATGAATTGAACCATCTGATTTAGTAAGTGGACATTTCAATCTACACTGTGATACTAATCTACTATGCCTCATCTAGATGTATTTTTTCCCTATACTCTTTTTTAAAGGAGAACTATGGGGTCAGTGTTTTTCGGGAGCACACAAACTAGCGTCCTCCCGTCACCCTAAGCTCAGTATACCGCGAGCTACAGCTCGCGGTATACTGAGACGCCGCACCTGGAGCGGATCCCGACTTAGATGACGGGATCCGCCCAGCTGCGTGAGTGACAGCTGGCTCTGCCTATCTAGAGGCAGAGCCAGCTGTACCCGCCCCCTCCCCCGTCCGTTCTGCCAGTCAGCGCTGGAAGATTGGAGCGGTGAGAGGGGAATCCCGCCCCTCCCCCTGTCACGGCAGAGAGCCGTGACAGGATCGAGAGGTGAGGGAACCCGGTATGTTTTCCCTCACCTCCCGATCTACTGAGCCGACCTGTGACAGTCTCATTGTCACAGGTCGGCTTAGAACTATGACGTGAGTGGAAATCACTCATGTCATAGTTCTCCTTTAATACTGAATAACAGAATAAGATGGCATGCTAGTGAACATATTTAGATATTTCAGATCAAAAATCCTATTTATGATATACAAATCAAACTTTGTTTTTTAAACAACTGCGCAATAAAATGTACTGCACAATGAAATTATGACAACCATATGGCTTGATTTTCTTCCAATCAATCATCAAAAGCACAGTCTATTCAGACACATGAAAGGCACATTTCAAAAATGGTAATTGGGCAATGACACAAATAGCTACTGTGCAGTGAGTAGGAGTTGCCTGGCAATTGAGTAGTGAAGTCTATTTCCTCATCCTTCACTGCTCTCTTGCTACAGAGAGCGGCTGACAGCCCAAACCAGCATCCCTGCTAAGATCTAACAGCACCTAAAAAAAATGACATTTTGCTTCTAATTATGAAAGGTGAAAGGTGAATTAAATGTAACAGCTTAGCAAGTCCTAGCAAGGACGAGGTTTCTAACAGGGTGCAGCAGCTAGGAGGAGTGTTTTTTCTTTTTAATGGTCTTTCTTCAGCTGGATTCTCTGACTGCATGGCAATACTGAACACAGGACTGCGAGACAGCACAGCACTGGGCAAGACTTGGGAATGACATGGCAGTCTGTAAACAAATGTCTTGGCAAGAGACCACTCTTAGTTACACGTTGTAATGAAGCATGACAAATAGGAAATGTGTACTAGGAAGAGAGGGGATTCCTCAGGGAGATATTGAAGCAACTGAAAAGAGAGCTATTCTCTAAACTCCAGCAGAAAGCAGGAGTACATACCAAGGGGAACTACTAAGAACTGACTTTGAACAGCATGGCACTTTACCTGTTTAAAGCTTTACTTCTCTTTGGAATTCACATGTCTGGGTCTCTGACAATTGACACAAGACAACCAAGGCTACGCTTGTCTTATAAAGGTAAGATTTAGCATAACAAGACTGTCTTATATTACCTTTAACTAGCTTAACACATAACATTGTAATACAACTTGTGTCTATGTTATATTTATTTAATTGTAAAAAGCTCATTTTGTTTAGTTTTATTTTTTATTATTTACTATTATTTTTTATTAATATTGACATTCACATTATTATATCAGTAACATAACCAAATGATTCAATGACTGCAATTACATAACTGGGATATAGATATGCGTTCTAAAACTGATTGTAGGCTCAATTCATGAAGCTTTACACAAGGAGATGGATTTTTTTTCAGCCATGTAAATTTAATTATTTCAATACATTTCAATTAATTAATTAATTTCATAAAAGCTTTTTAAAAAAAAATATCCTTCTCCTGGTGTTTTAGCTTAGTGCATTGTCCTTTGTGTGTTGAATTCACATCTTGTCATCTTTTCATTTTCAATGTTATAATACATGAAGAGAAGCCTATATTGTGTAGATAATTGGTGATGAAAATCAAGCATGTTTCAAGGACAACTTTTTCCGGAAAGCAGGGACAATTGTCAGCTATGTTTTGTGGTCATAAAGTATAATATTGGTGTGCTATCTCGCCTAGGTACTAAAGAATGCATATTAGGTCAAATGCTTGTTGCGTGTGTGCTGTGTAATTACTAAACTGAACCTGTTAATGAAAGGAAATGCACTGTTGTAATTAGATATTCATACTCTTCTATGTGCTTAAAAGGTCAGAAGTCTGTGATGTGCAACAGACTGCTTCAAGGCTGACAGGATTACAAGAAACAAAAAACCTTTGGGATCTTTTATGTTATGTGACAGGTATAGCAAAACACCTGGCCATAAAAAAGCTAAACAAAACCCATTCTATGAAATCCAGCTGCCTGTTTCATCTTCATTCACTGTCTTCACTTGTTACTTCAGGGGTGAAATACATAATTACATGTTTCCTACTTTAACTCCTTGTAGTCATATATTCTTGTGTACTGGGGAGAATATTAGCATCAATATTGCATACAGGCTATAATTACATGCATGCATTCGCTCATATAATGAAGTGGGGCTGTCTTCTGACTCTGCATTTTTTTTTCTGCTCATAGCAGGACTTTGATAGTATTTACATGTTTTAAAATTTTATTTGTATAGTCCCTATTCCAGACACAATAATAAACCACTCAATGATGCCAGGACTAATGCACTAACCCTATACTTTAATAAGTCTAGAATTGGGTCATGATAGACCAATGTGTACATAGATTGATTCTAGAAATCTAACTATACACATTATAATCTGCTTGCACAATATCCTATAGTCTAGAAAAAACACTGTGTAGTACTATGATCTACCACATTGGGTATTCATTGAATTAATTATCCAGGTAGACCTTCATGCTACATGTTTGTAAATCTGAAATAGACGATACAGAGATTGTACATTTTAATTGATATTTCTTGGTCAGCTTTTCATCACGGACCAAAGTTTATTCAGATAAAGGTTTCTCCAAAGTTCAACAGACAAATATCACCCATGGATTATGGTATGTGTGAAGTATACTGGACCTATGTATTTTCTGAAGTGTAGGCTTGTGTGTTCTAAACTGTCATCAACTCTTATTAAGCCAGCCATAAAGATAAGGAATGGATTATTCACAATCAATTGATGTGACTCCATATAGCCCTTATGCACATTCACTACCCCATGCATTTCTAACACTCTCCATATTCATGCTTTCAAGGCAGCAATGGATTATATCTGTATGAACACCATTCACATTTTAAAAGGTGAATAGAAGACCAGACAAAACATTTCAACTCACCTAACTGCTACTCAACCCAATCAATTTCTCAAATTGTTGACATACTATTGAAATTGATCTCATTATTATGATGGGTAACTCATGGTGAGGGAGCCTGCATATTATTTTGTTTTGCATATGATATATTTTGCAAATTTATCTTTAGAAGCTCTAAAAATATATCAAGGTTTTCCTTATTTTTTTAAGCTTAGGCTTTCCAGTCACAGTGTATATCCAGATCCAGTGCTTTACAGAGCACTTTACTATTCTCCTATATGTATAATGACTACATTACAGACCTCTTACCCACCATTCTTTAACTAGCAAAGCAGAAGCGACATCTAGGATTGGAAATTATATGAGAGAAAATTATAGAGTGTGAAAGTGCCATAACCTGTAACAATCTACCAGAGAATTGTCTATTATTACTGTACTAGAAATTAATGCTAGATCCTCTATAGTTCATTGTTCTTTGTATGGGTCTTTACAGATATTACTCTTTGCCTGAAGGTAAAAAAAACACACATTTTCTTGTTTTTACAAAAAACTGCAGCCTTGAATTGATTAACCAAGCTGGGTCTATACTTTGTATGCAAAGTAGCTGTCAGACTCAGATATTAACTAAAGGAGGCATTTTGGCTGTATCAATTGCAGTGAAAGGTGTTTTGGCTGCTCCACAATGTGAATGCTGAGATTTCTTTCATGCAATTTCATATGTGTATTTAATCAAACTATGCACACATAGAAATAAAACTCAGGGGTGCAGAGACACAGTTAGCAATAAATATGGGGCAGATGTTATAAACCATAACCACAATCAAAAGCTAAAACATGCCTGGAGTTTCACAGAAGTTTTATGAACTGGCCAGATCTACCTAATTCATGTGCATTTGCCCATTGATTCTGTTAGTGGTGAGCGATTAGATCATTTGGCACCAAGGGCTACATGCATTTGAAAAAGGAACTGAGTGAATTTTAAAAAATGTCTCATCTTATATACCGGATAGTTTGAAGGAGTCTGCCACTGTCAGTCAAAAAGGTAAAAATTCTTCCAAAGGAGACATGCCCAACTTTTCCAGTATAGACCTGCAATTCGACTAACTGCATTCTATTTTGTGGCCATTCTAGGCTCTAGACATTTTTAAGCCTTTTAATTTATCCTTTGCAGGCTTTATACACATGGGTGGCTGAGCCTTACAATGTAAATACCAATGCATTTTTCTCTGCGGAAAAGCCGCAAGTGCTAGAAAAAGCATCCTATAGAAGTCAATGGCTATACCCAAGTACCAACATATACCTGCGTTCAGTTGTATACAGCCATTGACTTATATGGAAGGCTGTATGCACCCCCTGTGGCTCAGTGGTGGTGGGGGGGGGGATAAGCTGGAATTTACATTTACAGCCATCCATGTGCATGAAGCCTTTAAATTGACAGTTAACTTCATTAACCTTTTTACACTTTTCTATGTAATACCATGCTATTAGTGAATGGTTTTCTTCATATATCTCAGACTGCTAGGATGCAGAACACACAGCATTCCAAACTTTCAAAGTCAATAACTAATTAGACTAACATCAATGTTTCACTTATTTGACTGCAATAACCTCAAATCTGAGATCACTTGTGTACATTACAAATCAACTATGCTCTTTCCGATGTCTTTTAAAATAATCTTAATAATGTTTTATACACATATATGTTTCTCTTTCCACTGGCTGACTCTAAAGTCAAAACCGTTCAATTAATCTTAGGCATAAAATTATGCTTTTATAAGTCTACCGGACGCTGTGGTGTAAAGCTGGGATATTTCTGTTTTTGGTCCTGAAGAAAAGCCACCTTGTACTTCTCCAAACTCTTGAAGGAATTATTTGTGTTCACTGACAGCCTATGATGTTACTTTTTTGGATTTTAAATAATCATGCTCTTAATTAAGGAAAAACTATTACATTGGCCTACTATATTGAAGCCAGTTTTAAAAGCAGTATACAGTTCTGATGGCAGTGATGACAGGAGCACTATATTATACATGTGTCCTTGATAGAAAATAAGTTTCGACACATGCACTCATCCATGTTAGCAGTATAGGATAACAAACAATTGCATCCAGACAGCAAGGGACTTCATGTCTGTTATTCACCAGTTATTCACAAACTTTTTACTGCTATAATTCGTGTTTTAACTGCACCCTGCCTTATGTTGGCTATAACCAAAAAAAGTTGACTACTGAAAACAAAGTGGCTAATAAATTTAAACCCTAACACCAGCCAAAATGTTATTTTACTTCAAATAGAATGGTAAATAACTTGCATTTCCGTGTATATATCTGCTAAGATTTTGCCTCACTTCCTAGCCCAGTGATCCCCACACAAAAAAAAATGGTAGGGTGCAATCGTCACTGCGACAGGAAAGAAGAGACAACAATAAAAATGTTCTGAAAAGTTTTAAAACTCAATTTACTAATAATATTGTCTTATCTGTGTCTCTGATATGCAATTTCCCATCACTTCCTGTCCTGACAGAAAGTGATGGAGAAATCAAACTCAATTGTCATAAAGACAACAATATAAACCTGACAGAGGCTCTAAACTTTCTATGCTGTAAATAAAAGGTTTCAGCTGCAGTTAGTCTTTAAGTCTTGCTGTTTTAACCACTTGAGTCTTTCTTCCCTAAAGTCCCAGAGTATTTTTGTTTCCATTTTCCTAATGTCTCGGTTCTACACACTATACCTTTTAGCACTTGTAGTGTAACGTAATGTATTATACATCAATTTTGGCAAATAGGGCTTTAATGTGGTATCAAAATTGGATGCCTACATTTTTATTTATTTGGTTTTTATTGGATAATAAATAGTAAAAGAAAGGTGAAAAAAATGCTTTTGCCTGTAATTTTTCCCAACACACTGTTTATGTAGTTTGCGCACTCACATTCATTTACCCCAAAATATAATCAATAAAGTCTGCTGAATAAAATGATATCACATTAATGTGACTTTAGTGTGACTCTACTAACTTCTTTAGTAGAGCTTTATTCCACACTACATTGAAAACAAAGGCTTGTTAGTGCAACATTAGGATATGATTATGCTCAGTAAGCACAAAACTCATACAGATCATTTGACATTGTTTATGCAATCTGGTTTAATTTTGGGAAGATATATTAGTATTATTATTATTGTGATATATAGATATATATAGATTATA